TAATCCTCCACCTGCGGTGCTGGCATCCCATATGGACACTGGGTTCTAGTCGCAGTTGCTCCTCTTCCAGTCCAGCTCTCTGCTGTGGTCCAGGAGGGCAGTGGAGGATGGCCCAGGTGCCTGGGCCCTGTACCCGCATGGGAGACCAAGAGGAAGCACCTGGCTCCTGGCTTCAGATCAGCACAGCGCCAGGCATGGCGGCCCCCTGGGGGGTGAACCAACAAAAGGAAGACCTTTCTCTCTGTCTCTCTCTCTCACTGTCTATAATTCTACCTGTCAAATAAATTTTTAAAAAAAGAGAAGAAAGAAGGGCAGTGGGTAATTGGCATAGGCATTAAGATGTGCATGTCCCATAACACAGTACTTGGGTTTGAGTCCAGCTTTCTACTACTGCTGACCTTAGATGGCTCAAGTAGTTCAGTCCCTGTCACCTACAAGGGAGACCTGGATTGAGTTCCTGACTCCTTTCTTTAGCCTATCCCAGTTTCCTCTCTTTTTCTCTTGCTCTAGAATAAATTTTCAAAAGAAATAATGAGTGTAGATGCCTATGGATTCAATAGGAAACTTCCCATATGTACTGTAAAGCAGACAAAATTGCCTTTGATGCTACCAATTTGTGGAAGAATTCACTTGTGTCCCCTCCTGGTTTCTAGTATATAAGATACTGAACATTAATTGAAAGACTAGTTTCTATATAAGCTAAAGATTTTATTAGTTTAAACCAGAAGTTCAGTCATCTGAGGGGTTTGATGAACTGTAGGAATGCTCGGCTCTGTAAACACAATTTCTGACTTAGTAGATTTGGGATGGGGCCTGAGAATTTGCAAGTCTAGCAATGCCCAAGTGTAGAGGATGATGATGCTGGGCTCCTGGACCACACTTTGAGAACCAGTGGCTTAAGCAGCCATTTAGAGCACCTTTCAAAGTGTTGCTCCACAAGGAAGTACAGACAGCATCACTTGCTTTAAAACAAGAAAGTCAAAAACCACGTTTCCCTTCATATGTGGAAGATTTTTTTTTTTAAAGGCATCTGTATGCAGAGTAGCAATTACTAGAGGCTGGGAAGGGTAGAAATGCATGAAGGATAGGGGAAGGCTGGACCAAGTTACAAAATCGGAGTCATCTGGAAGGAAGAAGTTCCCAGTGTAACAGCACAGTAGGGTGACTATAGTTCACAATAAGTGATTACATATTTTCTGAGAAAACAGAAGGAAGGAGCTAAAAGGCTCCAATCATAAAGTAATGACAAAGAGAAATGCTAGTAATCACCCTGAATTGATCAGTATAAATTGCATGTATTTGTTGACTTATCACACTGTACCCCATAAATATGTACACTTAAAATGATTAAAAGAGGCAGGCATTTGGCCTAATGTTTAAGACACCCACATCCCATATGAGAGTGTCAGGGTTCAATGCCCAGTCCAGCACTTGACTCAGCCTGGTGCCTGATTCAGATTCAGCGTTTCCAGATTCTCAGTGCAGAGACTGGGAGGCAGGGGTGACAACTCAAGTAACTGGACTTCTGCCACCCACGTTGGAGACCTTGATTAGTTCCTGGTTCCCAGCATCAACCCAGTCCCACCCAGCCCCTGTGGGTGCAGGCACCTGGGGAGTGAACCAATGGATAGGAGCTTGCTTTCTGTCTCTCTGACTATCAAATAAATAAAACTTTTCAAAGAAAAACCAAAATAGTGAAAAAAGAAAAGTCTTCAGATTCCTCCTTTTCCTCATTACAAAGTAGTATGTTTGTACTTCAAAAATCTTTTTAATTAAAACAATAAATTTAAAAATAAAGTTCAACAAAACACTGTATTTACAACAAAAGTGAGACAGGCATCTTTTCTTGCTTTGGCTTTTTTGATCTTTTTTTTTTAATTTTATCTTCCAAATGTAAAGGAGAACCGCAGTATTTGTCTTGCTGTGTCAGGCTTATTTCACTCAATGTGATGTTTTCTACTTCCAAGCATCTTGAGGCAAATGATAGCATTTCATTTTTTATAGCTGAATAAGTTTTAATATTTTGTGACTATTTTAAAATTTGCCTGAGTGAAGTTGACCATCTTTTCATTTGACTGTTATGCATAGCCCCTGCCTATTTTCCTGATAAACTATGGTCTTTTTACCTGCTGTTGAACTCTTTATTTAGTGCAGTTAAGCCTTTGACTAGAAACTAAATTAAAAATATATAGTTTTTTAAAATTTTATTTGTTAGACAAGTTTCATGTATTTAATATACACAGATTTAGGAACATAGTGGGATTTCCCCCATACCCTCCCTCCTGCCCATGCTCCAACTCTTGCTCCCTCTTCCCTCTCAGATTCCTATTAATTTTTACAATGATATATTTTCAATATACTTAATTATCATGTAGTTAGCCCTACTCTAAGTAAAGGTGTTCAACAAATAGTATGAAGAGAAAGAAAACAAAACACCATTCCTCAATGAAAGAGGCAAGGGCTATAAACAATCATCTAGTCTCAAAATATCTATTTCACTCTGTTACATTTCAGGTATTAGTTACATCAGATCAGGGAAAACATATGAATCTGTCTTTTTGGGACTGGCTTATTTCACTAAGTAGAAAGGTTTACAGTTGTGACCGTCTTGTTGCAAAAGACAGGATTTCTTTTTTTTTTTAATAGCTGAGTAGCACTCCATAGTGTGTGCATATATATATATATATATATATATGTATGCATATATATCATAATTTCTTTATCCAGTCAATAGTTGATGGAAAACTGGGCTGACTCCATATCTTTGCTGTTATGAATTGTGCTGCAATGAACATGGGGTAAAAAAGGCTTTGTAGAAGGAGTTTGGGCGGATTCCCTCCCTTTCAGTAGTTTTGAATAGCTTGAGAAGAATTGGAATTAGTTTTCCTTTAAATATCTGGTAGAATTTAGCAGTGAAGCCATCTGATTCTAGGCTTCTCTTTGTTGCGAGAGCCTTTTTACTGATTCAATTTCTGTCTTGGTTATTGGTCTGTTCAGTTTTCTATATCTTCATGACTCAATTTTGGTAGACTGTATGTTTCTAGGAATCTATTTCTTCTAGATTTCCCAATTTTTTGGCATTCAGCTCTTTTAAGTAATTTCTGATGATTCTTTTTATTTCTTAGTATTATCTGTTGTTACATTTCCTTTTTCATCTCTGATTTTACTGATTTTGGTCTTTTGGTCTTTTTCTCTTTTTTTGGTTAGTTGCACCAGTGGTATATCAATTTTGCTTAGCTTTCCAAAAAAAAACTCTGCATTTCACTGATTTTTTTTTTGTATTTTGTTTCAACTTTATTTCTTCTCTAATTTTAATTATTTCTTTCCTCCTACTAATTTTGTTTTTGTTGTTGTTGTTTTTCTAGATCCTTGAGATGCCCTGATAGTTCATTTATTTGGTACCTTTCCAATTTCTTCATGAAGGCACCAATTGCTATAAACTTCCCTTTTAATACTGCTTTTGCTGTATCCCATAAGTTTTGATATGATGTATTGTCACCATCATTTGTTTCCAGAAATTTTTTTATTTCTCTTTTTGATTTCTTCTATGAGCCATTGTTTGTTTGGGAGTTTGTTTTTGGTTCTCCATATATTTGCATATGATCTAGATATTCTTGAGTTGTTGATTTCCAGCTTTATTCCATTGTAGCCAGAAAAGATGCATGGTGTGATTTTGATTTTTTTTAATTTGCTGGGATTATGGTCTATCCTTGAGGAAGTTCCATGCACTGGGGAGAAGAATGGGCATTCTGCAGCTGTAGGATGAAAAGCTCTCTAAATATTCATTAGTTCATTTGGTCTATAGTGTCGATTAACTCTGCAGTTTCCTTGCTAATTTTCTGTCTGGTTGATCTGTCCATTGCTGAGAGTGGGGTATTGAAGTCCCCCATTACTATTGTACTGGAGTCTGTGTCTCCTTTTAGGTCCATTCACATTTCTTTTAAATAGCCAGGTGCCCTATAATTGGGTGCATATACATTTATTATAGTCACATCTTCATGTTGAAATGGCCCTTTAATCATTACATAGTGCCCTTCTTTGTCTCTCTTAACAGTTTTTGTATTGTCCAATATTAGGATGGTAACACCAGCTCCTTTTTGGTTTCTGTTAGTATGGAATATCTTTTTCCATCCTTTCACTTTCAGTCTGCATGTATCTTTGTTGGTGAGATGTGTTTCTTGTAAACAGCAAATAGATGGGTCTTGCTTATAAATCCATATAGTCAGTCTGCATCTTTTAGCTGGAGAGTTGAGGCCATTTATATTCAAGGTTAATATTAATAAGTAATGATTTGGCCCTGCCATTTTTCCATAAATAGTTCTTTTGTTTACTTTGGATTTCTTTTCTGCTTCTACTGGGGGGTTTTCTGCCTTCTCATTCTTTCATAGTGAAGGCTATCTTTCTGTGTTTCTGTGTGTAGTACATCCCTGAGCATCTTTTGTAAGACTGAATGATTGGCGACAAATTCTTTCAATTTCTGTTTGTTATGGAAGGCCTTTAAAAATATGTAATATTAAAAAGTAAATAATAAACTCCAAAAAACAGTAAATTCACAAAACTTTTAAGTTTAAAAGTACCCACTCAGAGACAACCATTAATGACCTTGCTACGGAATTAGGTATCAACACTTGATAAAACAACTCTTTTGTTTGAGGCTTTACATATTTGACACTTCTAAGGTCCCTCATGTCATTTTTGTTTGTAAAAAATAAAGATCAAAATAGAACAGCTTTTGTTTTTATGTAAAGTTTGAGAAAGTAAATTTGTAGCAAAATTCTATATTTTCAATTTGCCTGACTTCTCAGCATGTTTGATGATTTATTATAATATGATCAATTGAATTGTATTTATGAAATCAAACCTCTGTCATTAAAAGAGAAACTGACAAAACAATATGTCATATTGTCTACTTTGTAATATTTCTTAAGTGATCCTATGACATGAATGCTCAAATGTCTTTCTTGGTGATCCACTAAACTGAACTTTCCTGTGATACACAGGGACTGTTAGGTGAAAAATATGGGAACATCCGAATCCCTGGAGAAGTTGAAGCCTCAGAGTTTGAAATGATCTTGGATGCTGCCGTGGAGGCCAAGTTGGAGACCAAGTTAATGGAAGAGTGGTATTGTCGAGATGAGAACTCTGTGCCCGCAGCTTATTACCTCAGACCCAAGTCAGAAGTGCTGAGGAGCAACAAAAATGCAGTAAGTTGCCCTCCTCTGCAATGTGTGTATCTTCCCATTGCTTTATAATTGCTCATGACATCCAGGAGTAGGTTTCTCCATGGAAAAAGCACAACAGACAGACAGACATACTGCCCTATGCCCTAAATTTCCTTTGCCCAAGTAAATTCTCACTAATCCTTAGGGGAATACAAATCAAAACCACAATGAGATATCACCTCACACCTGTGAGGATGGCCATTATCAAAAAGCCAAAAGATAACTGTTGGATGTGGAGAAAAGGGAGCCCTGGTATAGAGTTGGTAGGACTGGGAATTAGTGCAGCCACTATAGATAACAGTATGGCAGGCCCTCAAAACGTGTAAAACGGAACTCCCCTATGATCTAGCAAACCTACTTCTGGGTATACATCCAAAGGAAATTAAGTCATTGCACTCCCATGTTTATCACATTATTCACAATGGCCAATATACAGGAACAACCTAAATGTCTATCACTTGTTGAGTAGATTTAAAATGTGCTACTTATTATTTATACATATATACAGGGCGGGGGGAGAAATATTATTCAGCCTTCAAAAAGAAGGAATTCCCTCCATTTACAACAACAGGAACAAACCTAGAGAACGTCATGCTAAGTGAAAGAAGCATACAGAAAGACAATACTGTGTAATTTCACCCATATGAGGAAGCTGAAGTTGAACTCAGGGTAACAGTATAAGGAAGTTTACTGTGGGTTAGAATGTGGAAAATGTTGATCAAAGGATGCAAACTTTCAGTTCCAAGGTGAATAAATTCTGGAAACCTATGAACAACATCGTAACTATAGTGAATTATAATGTATTGTATGGTTGAAATTTGCTAAGAGTGGACTTAAAGTGCTTTCATCACAAACACACAAATGGAATGGATGAGTATGTTAGATTGATTGTGGTAATCATTACTTAATGAATGCATTTATCGAAACATTGCAGAGTAGGCATTTGGCACAGCAGTTGAGATCCCTGTTGGAACATCTGCATCCATATCTAACTGCCTTGGTTCAAGTCCACTTGGAAACTCCACTTTCAATTCTAACTTCCTGTTAAAGTGCACCCTGACATGCAGCAGGAGATGGCTCACATTATTGGGTTCCTGATAACCATATGATAAACCTGTTTGGAGCTCCTGGCTTCTGGCTTTAGCCTGGTCCAGCCCTGACTCTTGTGAAGGGGGAGTGAACTAATGAATAGAAGATGTTTGTGTGTGTGTGTGTATCTGTGTCTGCCTTTCAAAATGAACAAGCATTAATATGTGGACCTTAATAAAGTAAAAGAAAACCTAAATCCAAAACTACTAAACTTTCAAATCTCTCCTTTCCTTTTAGCACCTCTGACCTTTCTTCCTGTGTCATTTTCTTTCTTCCTAAAGTATAAGTTTTGAAATTTTCATTCCTAAAGTATAACTTTTGAAATTTCCATACCAGAAGTCCACTAATGATGATCTTATTAGTGTATGTTTACCTGAAAAAATTATTATTTTCCCACTTTCTATAACATTGATTTTAATTGGAGGATATCTATATCTGTGAATTCATATATTTTTCGGTTCTATATAAAATTCTCAGCCATCATCTCATTAAATGATATCTCTCTTCTTTTCCCTCTGTTCTTTCCTTTTTCCTTTTAATTGCAAACTGCTACATGTGATTAAAAGGAAAGGGACTATATATACAGTGCATCATTATATACAGTGTGTGTGTGTGTGTGTGTGTGTATATATATATATATATATATCAGTATATACCAGTATATACAGTGCATCATTGGCCAAAATGTCATTATGTCATGCATAGTTGGCCATTAGAACATCACATTCTGTCCTCCATGTTTCTTAATTGTCTTTCACATTATCAATTTCTTTATCTCTCTGTGATGTTTTCCAGAATATTACTTTAAGACTCTTTTGTTTTTGAGTTTTTCTTAAACTGTATCTATTCTCTCTATACATTGAAATTTCTAGTTCAATAGTTGATATTTATTTTCTGAAAGATTTGCGTGTGTGATTTTGTTTTAGTGAGAAGGTCCTTCTTCAAATCTGTCTGCCTGTTTTTATTGTCTTTTTTCATTTACATTTTCCCTTTAACACTTCAAACAGTTTGTACTGTTGTATCTTATGTAGACTCATGGTATGACATTAATTCATCCTTGAGTATAATAGGAACATCCTCATTGTCCCCAGTATATACACTGTATATATTCTAAAACTGTATAACACAGGATGAGGGGAAGGATGAGCCTATTCATTGCATGTATCATTTAGACAGATTCAAAACCAGGTGTGGATATGCATCCCTCTTCCAGTGAGAACCTCCGTGGTATGGTCAGCAGTCAGGCAGCTACAGGAAGAGAACCACATTTCAGGACCTTTTGTATGTGTTGTTCTAATATTCAGCATAAAGCATTTTATCATGCAGCATGAAACCATATCAGAATGCTGGCCATTTGTATTTCATCCTTTGAAAAACACCTGTTGGTGTCCTTTTGCCCGTTTCTTAACTGATTAAACTAGACACTGTGTGTAAAATACCTATCATAATCTTGTCACAGAGAAGGCCTTCAGATAACACCAACTGCCTTGCTCTTACATAATGGTTTTCCTTTGATGACTTGAACTTTTCACTTGTGCATTTCCACAGATGCAGCCTGCTACCACTGCTGACAATGAGATGACCTGGAAAGAGATATCAGATGAGATCAAGAAGATATTTAAGGCTGCTGTAAAACTGCTACACGAGAAGGGTAAAATGAAACACAGCCAAGCTAAGAGGTACCTGTTCTCAGGTAATTCCCATCTATCCTCAGTAAGCTCAATTATAAGTAAAGATGTATCCACTGCTTCCCTTCTGTGGTCCTGTGCATTGAATCTAGTTTAAGGCATAGTAAAATTTAATTTTCTGAATGTTTCAGTGACCTGGAAAGGCAAGTGTTCTTTTGTGTTGAATCATAAAAAGCCTCTACTTATCTTGAGGGCTTCTCTAGAAAATGTGATTTTAAAAGAAGTCAGGTGGATATAACAGACCGGACACTCCCATCAGTTGAGGGAGTGATTCATTCACTGGTTGATTCATTCACTGGTTCAGTCATCCAGCCAGCACTTCTTGACCTGTCGGCCTCTTTTGTGGCAAGCACTAGGCAAACAACAGTGAATCAGGAGGCAAGGGCTCTATGCTGGTGTTTATTTTTGAATGGGGGAAAATATGAGAAAGGAGTCCGACAAACAGGATCCTTTCTGATTAGGTAGGATGAATGGGATACTGCCCAGTGACAAGATAACAGTGTGGTTGATGAAGGGTGAGGTCAGCTTTGTTAGATAGAGTTGACCATGAGGAGATGACCTGTGAGCTGAATGACCAGAAATCAGAACAAACCAGGAGTGCCACCTGTGTCTGAGGTAGCGAATTCCGGGAGGAAGGATTATCAGGCTCAAGATCCTTGAGACAGGAATGTGCTTTAGTAAATTCCAAGAGAGGCAGAAAGTAAAGGTAGTCAGGCTCAGGGAGGAAGAGACGAGGTCACAGGGTGAGCCCAGGCTGTAGGAAGAACCCAGTCTTTCATCCTGGCAGTGGTGGGAAGCCACGGGAGGTGTGAAACAAGAGTGGTGTCAGGACCTAAGGTAGAATTGGTATCGCAAGCTCCCCAGCTACTGAGCAGCGGCGCACACGTCAGTCTTTCTCAGTGGTGGAAAGGCTGCTGCATAGCAAACTACAATCTATAGGAATGTCAGTCTAGGGCACACACATACACAGTACAGCATTCGTTCAGAAAAGTCACAGTGATGAATCATTGAGGAGGGAGTGTCTGGCACGATGGTTAAGATGCTGCTGAGACACCCACATCACGCATCAGGGAGCCTGAGTCTGCGTCCTGACTCCATTCCCAACCCCAGATTCCTGCTAATGTGCACCCTGGCAGGCAGCAGGTAACCACTCAAATACTTGGGTGTCTGCTACCCACGTGGGAGACCTGGATGGAGTTGTTGACTCCTGGCTTCAAGCTGACCCGGCCCCAACTATTACAGGCATTTGGGGGAGTGAATCTGTAGATGGGAGATCTATCTGTGGCTGTCTGTCTTTCTCTTTCTCCTTCTGCTTTTCAATTAAATAAAATAAGTAAAAATTAAATAAAAAATACAGTGTTCTTTAAAAAAGAATAATTGAGAAGGAAGCAATAGTAGTGGTTTTATATTTTTTGAGTGGTGTGTCCAAGCATTTGCAAAAACCAAAATCATACTCTTGATACCATTCTCACTAGATGCATGTCTTTGAAATTCAGAAAAGTTATAAATCATTTTGAAAAATCCCATAAAGAAGGAATCAAAAATCGGTTTTATTTTAAGTCCTCTTAAAAACACTAAAATTGTCAAGAATAAGCACTGTTTTTCAAAAACACAGACTAACACTTATCCTTCTTCCTCTGGGACTTTTTGATCCATTTTTGAGACTCTAAATCTCCATCTTTATCAAGGACACAACAACTCTGTTCGTAAAGATGCACTGTGGAGGAGAGAATTCCCAGAGCAAGGCTTTTCTATACTTTACGTGAAAGACACCAGTTTGGCATCCTTTTACTTATACTGTGTTCAGTATACTTACTTATAAGTATACTTACTTATAAGTATAAGTAAGTATATTTACTTATAGAAGTGTTCAGATATTCTGTTGGCAAACACTTCCTCCTAATTTTCTCTGTCCTTCAGAACTCTGTCACATGAACAGCCATGGGGACGTGATTCATTTCATATGAAGTGCCACAAGGGGACTGTTTTCTGCTTCAGGTTGCATCTCCTGAAGATACACCTGCTTGTGAAATTTTATTTATTTGCCCTTTCAAACTCATTTTAAGATCACATGTGCACTGTCAGAATTGCTGCAAAAGAGCCACCTCTTCCAGTGGAGAAGTGCACTACATTAGTATTTTCAGAAAATAATTCAAGAATTTAAGCTTGTAAAGGTGTATGTATTTGTATTTGGGTGTAATGTTTTATAGCTTTGGCTCCACCTTTTTAAACAAAAGAGGGAGAGTACTCAAAATGGTACCTTTTTGTGAACATCAAAACTGAGTGCCCCCAGGGATAGTAAAGAGATTAATGATCTCCTGGGTGACAGTTACCGGGTCTGAGAATCCAATCCTCATATTACCTTCATTGGGCACTGAGACTTGACAAACTTAAAGATATTAAGGAAAATGCAAAGACATAAAAGTAATTACAATGTTCTAGTAAAGTAAGAGAAAGCTTATAATATTTACAGAAAGTATCAGAAATTATAATTAAGTCTCCAAAAATCATGGGGTTGTGTTTTACCTCTGGCAATAACTTTATACAGCTGGTCTCCGATCACATCACTCATTTACTCAGATTCATTCTTCCTTCTTCCGATGGTTTGTGTGTTATTTTTTTTTGACAGGCAGTTAGACAGTGAGAGAGAGAGAGACAGGGAGAAAGGTCTTCCTTTTTCCATTGGTTCACCCCCCAACTGGCTGCTACTGCCGGCACATTGCAGCCAGCGCCCTGTACCGATCCAAAGCCATGTGCTTCCTCCTGGTCTCCCATGCGCGTGCAGGGCCCAAGCACTTGGGCCATCCTCCACTGCACTCCCAGGCCACAGCAGAGAGCTGGACTAGAACAGGAGCAACCGGCACCCCTACCGGGACTAGAACCCAGGGCACCGGTGCCACAGGCGGAGGATTAGCCTAGTGAGCCGCAGCGCTGGCCCAGATTCATTTCTGAACTCTGTACCCTACCCTATCAGGAACCCTGCACATAGACTAAAGCTTTGCTAGACTTTACCACCTTGGTTTATCTGCATCTCTTTTCATATCCCATTTATGTTCAACACTCCTGACTGGCACAGTCTTCTTTCCATAGATGTGATAGCAGTGTGAGTGGAGTCATTACTTAGGAGGGAGAGTGGCAGCATGTATCTGATGGTCATGTATTGTGTCTACATGCCACAGTTGGAGCACTTCCTGTCTCTTTGTGATGCTGTCAGAATCAGCACCCTGCTTATCCAGTATGTGCTCTATAATTTTACTCAGGCAGCTTGAAAAGAAACAAACTGGGGCTTTCTATAGTAGCTCATGAAGCTGAGATTTCTCACATCTCCTCCTACCTCCATTATAAAATGTGCTTTCTTGGTATAGGGCATACATATGCCCTGTAAACCCTTTTAACTGGCCTCCTTACCCAACTTGCCAAGTATAACCCTCCGTAAAACAGACTGTTGCTAATGGCACAGCTTGTTGAACACCGATGGCTATAAAATATCTTTTTCTCTTGAATCAAAAATTTTGGCCAATTGCTATCATTACTAAGAAAAACCATCTTGGCTTTAGTAGGTATAGAAGACAGTGGATTACCATCTTTATTGCTGTGATGTTTAAGCATTATATGCTAGTAGAATCTAGTTTGTTTCAGGTGAAGAATATTCTTTGAGTTTCCATGTTGAATGTGTTTTGGGCTAAACAAACAATGAGCTACTGCTGCTTGCAGTGTTAAAAGAAGAGTTATACTAAAAGGATGACTTTCAAAAACAAATCCTATCTTCCTCAATACTTTACAGAGAGAGAGAAGGTGTGTGTGTGTGGTGTGTGTGTGTGTGTGTGCATGTGCACTAGATTTCAGTTGATGTTGAAGTTGTGGCCAGCACATTTAAATTTGCTCAATTAAGGCCAGACCAGCCCTCCCTGCCCCAGTCTACTGCCGGGTGCCAGCCCAATAAAGTAGTCACCTGCTTAGGCAAGCCTTCCGCGATTTCTCCAAGTGGGCCTGATCCCTGACTCTTCTCCCTGGGTCATGCTCTCCAGTAACAGGACTGAAATAATCATAACATGTTTATTTTAGAGACTCCAGAATTAATTTCTGTTGTCTCCTACTGGCGTGTCAGCTCCGTGTCTCAGTCTGTTGACTGCTCTAACAGAACACCACAGACTGGGTGTCAGCCACAGAAATTCGCTTCTCACCGTTTGGGAGGCTGGGAATGTGCAACATCGAGGCACGTCCAGCTTTGGTGTCCAGTGAGAGCTGCTTCCAGGTTCACAGATGGCGTCTCCGCTGTGTCTTCCTGCAGTGGGATGGCCAAGGGACTTCGCTGGGCCTCTTCATAAGGGCACTAATCTCACTCATGAGGGCTCCACCCTCATGACCTCATCAGCCCCCAGGGGCCTCCAGTCTCTAAATGCATTCGCATTGGAGTTCAGCTTTCCACATGGGAGTTTTGAAGAGACACAAACATTCAGTCTATAACACTCCAGAATGGCCTTTTCTCTCCGTGTTATATGTTTTCTCTCCACATTATTCTTTGTAACTAGTAACATGCATAGAACGTAGTACAGCTCAGTAAAGATGAATTAGATGAAGGGAGGGAAGAGGAAAAAAGAAAGGCAGGAAGGGAGGGAAGGCAAGAAGGAGTAAAGCCTTGCCTTAAAATTCATTTCCCCTGCTTTAATTATTTTATATATTTTTAATTTCTTCTATGAACAGTTTTATTTTTATTACAATTGATCCAGTTTTAAATGTGCTTTTAGAGACTAAAATGATTAATAATGCAGACTGAGTTGTATATAAATGTGTAAATTATAAGCCGTAATTTGCTTTAACTTAGAAGAAAGTTAAATACAAAATCACTTCTTGGTACCTTTCTGATAGATACAGTGAAATTTCACAGTGACACAGATAATTCGGATTCTTCAGTAATCAGAACATGATTGTATTTTGTTTAAGAAACTTTTGTGTTTGTATTGAGCATATCTGTCTGGAGTACAATATTCTATAAGCAAAATGGTAAAGTCACATTGTAAAGGACATACTGATAAAGAACCTGGCCCAAATTGGTCCCTGCCCTTACTTCAGTCTTACCAACAGCTAAAATCAGAGAGACACTGAGCAACAGTAGAAGAATCAACTCTAAACTTGATGTGCTTTTTTATCATGCTTATGCTCAGCCTCTCCCTGACACTGGGGAAGAAGTTCAGTGATTTTATTTAGAATCCATTTATGTGAGTGCCAGGATGCTTCGTAAAAGACCCATAGGAAAATAAGTGATTTTGCTGTAGACTACTGCACTGCAGACTGTACGCACAACTTATCACTAGTAACTAAGCATTGAGTGTTGGCATCTGGGCACTTTGCTCCTTCATTCTAGGCAATAACCTCCTGGTGTTATTTTCTTTCAGCCATAGAGGATGAATTTGACTTCGCTCTAGGAAAGCAAACTCCAGCATTCCTAAAGAAGTGTGTTTGCTACATTAGGAAAATTGCTAACATCGAGCGCTTTGTGAAAATCCCAGAGATGGGAAAATACATGGATATCACTGGAACAGATCCCAGGATTATTCGTGACCCAGAAGCTCAAGAGAAGCTGATAAAACTCAGGGATGAATTTATTCCAACTATTGTTGCATCATCTAATCTGAGAGTATACACGTCTGTTACTCATTGTGACATGAAACTAGGCTATTCCCAAGAAATAGAAAACCATTACATAGAAGGACTTGGTAAACAATTTTATGAGGACATGATTGACATAATCCAGGCCACAGTGCAACAGAATTTTGACACTGAAACAGATACACTGTATGATGAGATCCTTCAGCATTCCTCCCTATGTAAAACATATGCCTCCTTCTACGAGTACAAGTGTGAATCTCTAAACATCGTGCATAAATACCTTCTCCCAAGCAAAACTGGGCACATCAGCCCTCTCATTATATACGGTGGACCATGCACTGGGAAGACCCTTCTGCTAGCTGAAGTAGCAAAGAAGGTAAAAGCCTATTCTTGCCTCTGCATAGTAATGAAAACTTTGAGTTTCAGAAAAAGTTAAACTGGTCAAATTCATTTTCATTTCCAGTTTTGACTATCTGAGTTGTAATCATAATCCTTTTGGAATGGATACTTTGGTGTTTTTTTTTTTTTTTTTTGCTTGTGTTATCTTGAGAGAACAAGACTCACAGGATATGACTGCAAAACTTTTTTTCTTGCTGTTCAAACTCATGTTGTGGGGTTAGTCCTCTCCATCCCATTTGGATAAAAACTAGGACAGATCTCAACAATTTTTCTCATTCCTCTCAAAAAAAAAAAAAGCCCTTCAAGTCACTTCTGGCCACTAAGTCAGTCTTAGTTCAGAATTAGTATGTCCAAGCCAAGGTTCTAATACAGACTTCAGTTACCTTTGTGTCCCCCAGCTGAAGCCCACCATAGAGAAGGCATCTACAGTAGGAAATGGGCCATCTTCTTTCTCTCTCCATGCATCTTTCCATCTTTTCTTCATTCCAACTACACCTGTGACCCCCATGGGGTTGTGGTTTAGAGGACATAGAAAAGGTGAGGTGCACATGTAGGACAGAAAGTTCCTATGTGACCAGTGCTGTTCAGAACCAGGTTCTAAACTCTCTGGTCTTAGCAAGTGTTAAAAGCCACTTCTCGGGCTGAAGTGGCCATAGTGTGTGGGGTCGTCACCTGTGACACCAGCATTGCATATGGGTGCAGGCTCGAGTCCTTGCTGCTCCCATTCCGTTCCCTGCTAATGGTGTGGAAAACAGTGGAAGATAGCCCAAGCTTTTAGGCCCCTGCCACCCATGTGGGAAACCTGGATGGAGCTCCAGGCTCCTGGCTTTGGTCTAGCCCAGCACTGGCTATTGTGGCCATCTGGTAAGTGAACCAGCGGATGGAAGAACTAACTAACTGTGTGTGTGTGTGTGTGTATCTCCTTTCTCTCTGTAACTGACTTTTAATACAAAATAAATATTTTTTTTTCAAAAAAGCTGCCTCTCCTGTCACCGGAGGCCTTTCCATGATTTCCTTCCCCTGTGCCCCTCCCACCCTGTCCTCACTGAGCGTCTCTCACTTGCACGCTGCTGGACACACAAGGAATGCTACTTCCTCAGCTCCCAATATCCAGGCACACTTGAGGATATTTCTGCCAAGATGCTGTGCACAGAACCTGGGAAAAACAAACAAACAGAAAGCCTTGTCAGCTCCCGCTTGCTGGTGGCCAACATCTGGTATATGGATGCACTCAGGAGTCCTCCAGGGAAGACCCAGGACAGCAGCTGTCCGCCACTCCTCCATTGGAGCAGCAGGTCAGCCTTGGTCACTCAACCCTCCCATCTCTCAGATGTCTTCAGACTCCACATGACCATGTGGCCCAAGATTTAACGGGCACTCAGTAAACAGTCCATGGAAGCCCCTGCCCCATGACTAAAAGTAAAGAGTTAGCATCTCTCTGACCTGCCTTTTGGGGATGAGACAATAAGAGATAAGACCCATGGCATCCTCATCTCCAGTGTTGTTCTCACTCCCTCCAGTCTTTATTTCCAAGCTGGATGTGGGTAACCCACTAAGGCATCAAAACTGGTTTTCAGAACGTACACTTCGTATCTTGCATGAGGATACAGGACGTCTCTGGAATGTGACATCTGTTGTCTTGCATCCTCACCTAAGCTGCACTAAACTAGTTCCATTTAACCTCCTATTCACTTAGTGTTGATTCAGAATCCCTATGTTGGTCTTCCTGTGGTTGCTGTATCAAAAACAGAACTTTCCTTAATTGCCTGAACATTCCTGTGATCTGTCCTATGCACTCTCCACTTCCCTCTCTCCTGAGGAATGGCTGATCTGTACTCCCTTCACAACCTGTACTCCCTTCCCTGTGACCTCATGTCTCATGAGAATGCAGACACACATCTTGTGTTGATCTCCCACTGTTGTCACAGACACAAGCTCATGACTGTAGGGACACCATCTACTGACATCACACATTCAGCCACATGTGGCAGCAGGGTTGAAGGTGTCCATGATTATCGTAAGCATTGATGTGGGAGTCAACAAACTGTGTTTTGGCTCTGATTGGCCACTGAGAGGCAGTTGTAGAGTGGCCAGATCCTCCTTCTTGAATCCAGCTTTAATGGTCGGGGCTAAACAACAATATAATGCTTACTTATCTTAAAGGCTCATTATGAAACTGACATCCATAAACCTTTTCTCATCTTATTCAGTCCCAAATCCAAACTCTCTCTTGAGGAACCAAGTTCCATAAAATTGCTGTCTCAAGTATAAATTAGCACCTCCCTTTCTAAGAAGTGTCCTTGGTATTACTAAAGGAATTCATCGCACTAAACATACTCTTTTCTTTTTTTTAAGATTTAATTTTATTTGAAAGAGTTACAGAGAGAGAGAAGGAGAGGCGGGGGATGGGGGCTTCCATCCGCTGGTTCACTCCCCAGTTGGCCGCAGCAGCCAGAGGTGTGCTGATCCAAAGCCAGGAGCCAGGAGCTTCTTCTGGGTCTCCCACCTGGGTGCAGGGGCCCAAGCACCTGGGCCATCTACTGCTTTCCCAGGCCACAGCAGAGAGCTGGATCGGAAGTGGAGCAGCCACCGGTGTCCATATGGGATGCTGGCACTACAAGAAGCAGCTCCACCCTCTACACCACAGACCAGCTCCTAAACATACTCTTTTAATTATTTAATACTTTGATCATATCCATTCTCATTCTTTGCTTTTTCAAACAGAAAAATAATAAACTCAGTAGTATCATCACATATTTTCTCTCTTTAGCTCTATAGTTTTTCTTTGAAAGGCGCTAAAATGAAAATCATATTGACTTTTACTCTGACTGCATCTCTCAGTGACTGATTAACTCTGAGCTTATCATGTGTACAGCCTGGGCCTCTGTTTCCTCTTCTACTAAATGATGCTGTAATCCCATCTGCTCACCAGAGAAAAATGAGTGCCATGACTGCATGTTTATATATGAACTATCTATTATAAAGCTCAACATTTAATAAAACTCTCACAGCATTATGTAGCCTTTATGACAAAGATAAATAACAATCACAATAATGACCCTATAGCACCACAAAAATGTCTCTCAATCATTAAAGATTATATCCAATATTATGTGATTGTTGAATATTTTATTACATTATAATTAGAAATTTGGTTGGCCTCTGATTAATATAATGTGTAAATCATTACTTAAGCCATTCATTCAACAAACACTCACTAAGCACTGGTGTAAGCACCAGCAGCTATACCAGGGGAAAATGCAGCTTCAGTGATGAAAAACTGACCACACTGGATGCCAGATTTACTGACTTTTGAAATACTTCTATGTTGCCCTATAATTGAATAATACTATTTTCACGCCTTTGGCAAGGGTAATCTTGAGATCCTGAGGGGTCTTATGTATAGATTTTTACACATGATCTTTGTGACAGCTCTTTGGTCTTTCCAGAAGGTTTGTCCATTTCTTGGTTCTCGGCCACTTTCCACATGGTGGGGGTTCCTGGAAGTCAGAGCTCTGCAGGGAGGAAATATTGTTGCCTATGACCATGTGAACTCATGTTATCCTTCTAAACTCAAGCATTTTTGTATTTCAGGCCTGTGCCTGGCTTCATGATGACACAGGACCAGACTCTGACCCTGTCGTCGTCGTGAGGTTTCTGGGAACAACAGACATGAGCACTGACCTAAGGACTCTCCTCCTGAGTGTTTGTGAACAATTGGCAATTAACTACCAGTGTCTGGTTCAAAGCTACCCTAAGAAGATCCATGACCTCCGTGACTTATTTATAAACCTCTTGAATGAATCTTCCTTGCAGAGGCCTCTAATAATAATATTCGATGCCCTAGAGCAGCTCTCGGAGAATGACGATGCCAGAAAGCTCTGGTGGCTCCCAGCTCACCTTCCCCGCTTCGTACGGATAGTCCTCTCCACACTGCCCAACAAACATGGGATCCTGCAGAAACTAAGGTGCCTTATCCACGAAGAAGACAACTACATTGAGCTGATTCCCCGGGACAGGAAGATGTGCAGCCAGGTACTCAAACACCAGCTGCTACGAGTTAAAAGGAAGGTCACGTCCGGCCAGCAGATTTACGTGAACAATGCCTTCTCCAAGTGCACGCTGCCAATGTTTGTGAACCTGACCTTCAGGGAGGTGAGACACTGGAGATCTCACAAAGACGTCGATGAAACCTCCCTCTGCGTCAATGTTCATGAGAGTATAGAGCAGTTATTCTGGTCCTTGGAGAAGATGTGTGGTCAGAAACTGGTCTCCAGGGCTCTTGGTTACATCACCATGGCCAAGATGGGTCTGAGTGAGATGGAACTGGAGGATGTATTAGCCCTGGACAACAGTGTTATGAATGAGCTCAACGAGAATGCCAGGCCCAACAATCCCCTGAGAGTACCTTATTTGTACATTGCGAGGCTCAAGGAAGGACTCAACGGATACTTAATAGAAAGACATGTGAAGAATGTCACACTCCTGGTCTGGGCCAACAGACACCTACATCTCATAGCCCAGAAGCTGTATCTGCAGGATGACAGAGACCTGCGTGAAATGCACACCATCCTGGCAGATTATTTTCTAGGTGTCTGGTCAGGGGGAAGGAGGAAAGCATTCTGCCTGGAAGACCCCTACCTTAATGGCTGCCTTGACTTGGAGAGCAGAAGCCTGCTTGAGGAAGAAAAACACTTCATGGAACAGGCTTCCTTTGACAGACAGGCCCCAGACCAGCCCTGGGTTTTCCAGTGCAACCCCCTGGAGCCTGACATTTTCTTTGTCAACCATCGGAAAATGACTGAGCTTTTGCACCACCTGACAAGGTGTGGAAAAACCGATGACCTGCTTTATGGTATCATCATGAACTTCAGCTGGCTTTATACCATGATCAAAATTGGCCAGTTTGATAAAGTGCTTTCAGACATCGAGCTGGCGTACAACTACTCACAAGAGAAGGAGCTGAAGTTCCTGGCTAGCACCCTCCGCAGCATCAGAAACAAGGTCGTTGCGTTTCCTGGCTCCCTTTCAGCTGAGCTGCAGCAAAGACTTCTGCCTGTTGTGAGCTCCCTGCCTAAATTAAGACACCTTCTTTTAGAGTGTGACAAAGATGGGCCCAAGTACTGCTCCATCGTGCCCTTGCATTCATCCATGGACGTGACGTACAGCCCAGAGCGTCTCCCTTTGTCATCCAGTCACCTGCATGTCACGGAGATTCTGCCTACCTGTAACCCCAGCACTGTCCTCACGGCTTTAGAAAACGGTTCCATCAGCACCTGGGATGTAGAGAGCCGCCAGCTACTCAGGCAAATCACGACAGCCCAGTCTGTCATCCTGGGCATGAAACTCACTACTGATGAAAAGTACCTTGTGGTGGCTACGACAAATAACACCTTGTTGGTTTATGACAACGTCAACTCTTGTCTCCTGTCTGAAGTGGAAATCAAAGGGACCAAGCATGGGAGCAGCTCCACCTACATCAATGGATTTACGCTGTCAGTCAACCATGCCCTTGCGTGGCTTGAAGCCAGTAAAGATGTCACCGTCATTGATCTGCTCTACGGATGGCCCCTTTACCAGTTCCACTGCTGGTATGAAGTAACGTGTGTCCAGTGCTCTCTGGACGGTGTGTATGCTTTCTGTGGACAGTACCTGAACACGACCACCATATTTCACTTAGGGAGTGGAGAAAAGTTATGTACGGTGACCTCTGAATTTTCAGGAGGTTTTGTGAAGTTTCTTCTTATCTTGGACACAGCTCAAGAGATGGTAATGGTAGACAGTGAAGGAAGTCTTTCTGTTTGGAATACTGAGGACATTTCCAACCCCCAGCTGACTGATGACTTTGACTGCCGCAGAGAAGACAGCGAGGTGGTCAGCATTGAACTTTCAGAGGACCAGAGTGCCATTCTGATCTGTAAAGCCCTCAGCATTGAGCTCTTAGACACTGGCGTGTGGAAGGTGGCTGAGAAGTTCAGAGCCAAGCACAATGAGCGCTTTATATCAGCTGTGCTGTCCAAAAACGGAGACTGCATCATTGCAACCATGGAAAATACCTCAGCCGTGTTCTTTTGGAGGCGGGACACGGGACAATGCATGGCAAGCTTACAGGAGATCTCAGGTACCATAGTGAAGTTGGTAAAATCCAGTCACCACAACATGCTGCTCTCTCTATCAACCAGCGGCATTCTATCTATTTGGGATATAGATATAATCACAGCCATGTCCAATATTGATAAGACTGGGAAACCAATCCAAAGTCTGGTGTTGCCTGCAAGAGGGGAAATCATTTACTCCCTGGATGGCTCTGACTGTGTTCATAAATGGAATTTCAGCAGCGGGTTCATTGAGGCAGTATTCAAGCATGAAGGAACAGTTGAGCACTGTGTGTTAACATCCGCTGGCGACATCATGGTGACATCAGATGACAAAAGCAGCCAGTATGTCTGGCACACCAGCAGTGGGGAAAACCTCTTCCGAATTAATGGGCAGAGAATATCTCAGCTGCTGATTACACACAATGACCAGTTTGTGGTCTCACTGTGTGAAGAAAATGCCTCCAGGGTGTGGAGACTGGCCACAGGCCACAGGGTCTGCAACATTCTGACCACCTTGCAGAATGCCTTCATTACTTCTGCAAACACCTTCGTGGTGGGGATGACGAAAAGCAAAGTGCTGGCTGTCAGTCTTTGGACGGGAAGTATCACCAAGAAATTTTGCTGTGAAGATGGGACCAGCATTGTGAATTTTAAACTGATCCCTGACTGTCCTGACATCATTGTGTTCATCACATCAGCTGAGACTGTGAACATCTGGAGTCTGGCAGATGAAGTGATCTGTCGACGCGTGCAACTGCCAAACAACTTCTTGAAAAATCTAGAGGATTTTGAAATTTCTCCCAATGGAAAGCTAGGCATTATATCTAGGGGAGATGAAAATATCAATGTATTGGATTTACACAGTGGTAAATTACGGGTGGTTCATGCCTCTGGGATCATCTGGCGCCAGAGGTTGTCTCGAGATGGTCGCTACCTGGTGTACATTTGTTTCCGGAATGGGGAGGAGGAGGATGAAAATGGTGCAATATCCAGTCTAATCGTAATGAGGCTGGCTGATGGCAAAAATATCGGTGCTTGTTCTCTTTACAAAACGCCCACTTTTCTCGCACTCTCTCAGCGGCACCTGCACATCATTGTGGGCTTTGATGATGGGAGTATAGGAATATACACAGTAGTGGACCGTGTAGATGCTGCACTAAAAATTAAAATTGCTACTTCAAATAGCAGACAAATTTTCAACAACACAACACAGGTATCCAGGCCAAAGTCTAACAGTTACTGTTTTAAAGTGTCTGTGGATTGCTTATGGAGAGAGTCTACCGAGGTCTTTGCAAGAGACAGCCCCATCACGGTGAGCGACTCTTCCGAGTCCAATGAAGCCACGCCATCCAAGAAACACAACTCTTGTTATGACCGGGTGTGCTCTGCCCTAGAGTCCAGAGGCCATAGCTATGCCCCTGATAACTGAAAAAGTGTTTATCTTGTTCAACATACATGATCCACGTACAAAAGACACCAAAAATAATGTGTCTTCTGTATCCCAAATGATCAACCACTCGTTTCTTAAAAGACAGGAAAGATGCTAAAATCCCAGTGTTGTGCTGATGTGCTCATGAAATATATGGAGATGTGAGACTGGTCTGAGGTGAAGTCCTTTTGTCAAAGTGTATCCAGGAATGAAGGAATGACAGAAAGTGTCTAGAAGTAGTACTTACAATTAGTTGTGTTGTAAGAAGTAGCATAATTCATGCCATTGGTTCAGATGAGAGAGGCTGGAGTTACCAATAAACCATTTGGAAAGGGATTCGTTCTAAAAATTCAGTTGAAATCGTAAAGACAAAAAGCTGTTTGACTTCAAATGATTGTGTGATAAGTAAACTCAGCCTTAATCTCCTTTCCATTTTACAGTCCTGAAAACTGTGTAAACCTCGTCTGCAAATGAAAGGTCTAAAGGTGCAAAATCATGTAACAAACATGCCCAGATGCATTCCCAGTTTCCCACGAGACACGACATGACCTATGAGACCATGAACTGGACTGGGACAAGAACTAACCGTCGCTACCATAGGGCTACTCACCATGGCGAGTCGGTCTTCATTACAATACAATTGCAGCAACTGCATGCAAGGGTTTCTGTATGATAGAGTATATGATTTTTAAACTATTTACTTCCTTGGTTACGAAAGAACACATTTAATAAGAAAACACAATCTTTTCACATCTTTTTGAAACGTATATTTGTGCTGTATGTAAGGAACCACAGAAAGGGCATTACACATTTGATCAGTTCTGTCATCGTACTAGCAAAAGTCCGTACTATTCAGTCCATTGTGCGGCGGCATCAGTTTTTTCCTACATCCCTGCAGTATATCAATAGAAAGCAAGTGTTCTCAACAGACCATCTCTGAAACACTGATGACATTTGCCTTATTCTCATTCCCCCTCTCTCCTATTTAAATGCAGATAGATGACAAAATACTCTGGGACAAATTGAATATGCCTGTCTGTGTGCTAAAATAGCCCTTATATCTTAGGAGTGTCCAAAGGTTCTTTCTTGTCCTTATTTGTAATGACTTCCTTACTGCTGCACACCACATGTATGCTTCTTTACCTGTTATACTTCCTGAGGGATGATGCTTCTGGGCCTCTTATTGTCTTAACCATTTCAAAGTAGAAGCTGTGAAATGGTCTTCAGTGTTTTAAAAACAACAGCAGCAGCTACACTTACTGAAAAGAAAATATTACATCTCGAAAGAGTAAAGTGATTTTCTACCTTTCATATCCACCACAGGGCATGTCAGTCATGATGGTTGGTTTGGTTTTCTTTGAAAGTGGCAATGACTTTAGTAAGCATTATTATTATTATAAGTATTATTATAAACAAAGAACAGAGTGGTCCAACTTTGCCATGAACTCATTGCATCCCTAGCCAGATGTTTAACCTCCCCAGTGTATTATTTTTTTCTTAACCATAGGTAAAATTACTGGAAGCTTCTGCTATGGCCCTCATAGAGTGTTGGTAAGTCATGTGAGAAAAAAAAATACAGCAACATCTTGAGAGCTGATGTAAATGAGAAAACCAAGTGTTCTGCCCACTAGAAAACCCAAGTCTATTATGATTCACTTTGGAAATCATTTTGACACTTAAGCATTCAAACATGTGATTCAGATATAAACACCCCACTCCGTGATTAAAGACTTTTATTAAGATCCTCCGTCCCCAAATTTAGCTTCCAGACACAGGTGGCAACCCAGAGACGGCTCAGAGCCACGTATAGATCACCTGGAGTTGACTGTGTGAATCAGTGCTGTTTAACTCTTCAGGCAACACATTCTTAGTCCTGTCATTATCAATTAGAACTTCATGCTATACATTTCTAACAATTAAACCCCTAGATGGATTAAATGTAGTGTGTGAATGTTCAATGTAAAAGCCAATAGAGTATAACAAGTGACTTGAATGATTTTTTTCCTAACATGTTTGCAACTGATAGCTCATATTGAATGTTTTTATGTAAACTTTGTATTGTTGGGGAGAACAACCCACTCAGAGATTTATATTTTTCATAAATGTTACATTTAGTTAAATTTTGTTACAGAGTTGTTACACTAGAAAATTCTTTCAGTCTTTAAACAATATACAGTCTTGTGTATGTATTGTTTGTATGAATAAAAGACAAACCACTTAGATTTGGGTGCTCTTTGTTTTTCTCTTTGGCAGATGTAGTTAGAGACCTAGAGTAATAATAATAATTGCTTGTGCTTACTGAGTGGCCATGGTGCACTAGGCACTGTCATTGGAGATTTTCATTGGATAAGTCATGCAGTCTTCAAAACAGCCTTATTAGGTGAATACTGCTAGTATTCTTGATTTCTAGACATGGAAACCTGGAGACGGGACTAGGGGAAAATGGCTAAACAAGACTTCCATGCATAATCAATGTCTTTTTTGCTAGCCTTCTCAAAGCACATCAAAATATGGAATTCAGGAATAGGTGTTGAGCCTGGAGGTATTAGGCCTAGAGATTTGTTTGCCTAAAATTCAAGTCAAGGCACTTGTATCCCATATTAGAATGCCTGGGTTGATGTCCTGACTCCTCTCCCAGTTCCAGCTTCCTGCTAATGCAGACCCTAAAACGCAGAAGGTAATGGTTCAAGTTATTTGTCCCCACCACCATGTGGGAGGCCTGAACTCCCAGATTTGGCCTGGCCCAGCCCTGGCTGTTGTGGGCATTTGAAGAGTGAATCAGCAATAGAAAATCTCTCTCACCCTCTTTCCCTCTCAAACTAATACATATATATTAGTGTGTTATATGTAAACATTAATATATAGAGTACATTCAGTATCTAGTAGGTACTCACCAGTAATGACCTGTAAGCCATTTTCCACCTTGCAAATGAAACCTGGTGGGTCTCTTGAAGATCACTAGAGATTACTGCAAACTCTGAGGCTTTTCAGGTATATAGGAATGGCTGATGGGTTCATTCAACAAATATTTATTTGGTCATGCATTTTGTCAGGAATAAAAAGGTAAATAAAATAGCTCATGCCTTTTAGGATCTCAATCTTAATAGGAAAACAGGAAACAGGCTTTTTGCAAGTGCAAGGCATTGTGCTTCCCTCTGGGGTTGTGAGTGCAAAAGGAGAGGATGATGGCCAGGTAGTAGCAGTCCTACTCATGAATATCTCTAGTGAGAGAGCAGGATGAAGAAAACTCTTCCCAAATGCCGCCCCCCTTTAACCTTGGACCTGGGAACACACACATAGACCAAAAATAAATACACACACACTTTAAGTAGGGCAGCATTGGAGAGCTTCAGGAGGAAATAACCAGATGATACCTAGTATCCAGCTGACATGAAACAGTCATCCTGAGAGAAATTTAGAATCAGGAGGTTAAGAAAACTTGAGTAAATCATCTGCCAGGTTTCTCTCCCTTGTCTTCATATGGCTGAGACTGAGTGTGTGTTTAAGATTTACCTCCATAGAAAACCTAATAATTCATGTCAGAGAATTCTTTCTCAGAAATTTATGCCCTATAGCATAAAGATAAAATCTCCTTTCCACCTCAGACTAAAAAACAAATTGCTGATCCGTTTTTGCATAACAGTATTTCATGTATATGCAGTTTACTATTTCTATGCCTTCTATCCTAGGGTCAAGTACACAAGTAAGGCATGATTGTACATCAAGGTGTTTTGTTATACACTAGCGTGATTTGAAGATCAGTCACACGTGACTCCTTCTGTCTAGAATCCTACAATCTAAAGGAGACACACTAAGCCAATTCGAAGATTGATAAAAGGCTGTTAGTAAAAGCAGAAGCCAGAAGCTGAGGATACACTGCTGAGGACCAATTTATTCCACGTGGGCATCAAAAAGGACAAGAGTAAGAGGTTGAAGAATAAGTGGGAACAGGCATCAATGTCAGAAAGGCATTTCAGGTAAAGGAAGCCACATGAGCAGAAATGGAGAGTTGAAGCACATTTTAGATGACATAATGCTATGTTGGGAATTTGGGCTTCATTAAGAAGTCAATAGGGAGCTATGAAAAGAGTTTTGGGAAGGGAATGGCCTGGTTGGAATGGCATTTTAGAATGGCTCAGGCAGTGCTTTATCAGATTAGACACGGAAGAGACCTGAAGCTGGAAGACCACTACACATTATTGCAGTGATCGAAGGCAGAAAGTATTTGAACTTGATGTTGGGACATTAACAATGAGAATGTAAGAGGAGAGACACTGTGGGGGAGGGATGTTCAGGGCTTACTGGTGGAGGCAGATGAAGGAGAAGGAAAACCCAAATCCAGTTCCCGTTGAAATTGGGTAGATGGGGCCGGCGCCGTGGCTCACTAGGCTAATCCTCCGCCTAGCGGCGCCGGCACACCAGGTTCTAGTCCCGGTTGGGGCGCCGGATTCTGTCCCGGTTGCCCCTCTTCCAGGCCAGCTCTCTGCTGTGGCCAGGGAGTGCAGTGGAGGATGGCCCAGGTGCTTGGGCCCTGCACTCCATGGGAGACCAGGAGAAGCACCTGGCTCCTGCCATCGGATCAGCGCAGTGCGCCGGCCGCAGCAGCCATTGGAGGGTGAACCAACGGCAAAGGAAGACCTTTCTCTCTCTCTCTCTCACTGTCCACTCTGCCTGTCAAAAAAATAAAAAATAAAAAATTGGGTAGATGGTAGAGTCACAAACGTCAAATGAATAGAAGATCAAAGTGTCAGAAACCATGAATAAACTCTAACCTAAAGAGTTTAAGGGCAAGATATCCATGCAGACAACTGGAATTATGCTGCCGATCCCATGGAGGAATATGAGAAAGAATCCAAAAAGCTATCTCTTTCAGGAACCCTTAATCACAATGTCTAAACGTGGTGTGGAATTCTCTTTGGATATAATGTAAGCTGTTACCATAAACTTAATTTTTATTCTTTTTGTAGAACAATTTCACACATTTGAAACTAGATTTTTAACCCCACTGAAATAAATTGGGTTTCCTATCTTCTAAGACCCATGATCTGGGAATAACTTATATACCAATATAAACATGAACACTCTTTGAAAATTAATTGTATTTTCACTCCAGCATGCATCATCAGAGTTTTCTGTTTTTTTATGAGCTTCACCCCACCCTGGAGTGTCTGCTGGGCATCCAACTGATTTGTACAAAATGCACATTACATTTTGTACAGACACGTGGAAAGCTTGGTTTCCGTGTACCAATGTGACAGGCTGTCTGACACTGACAAATATCAACAGTACCTCTGACTTTATCCCAGCTTTTAACAGATGAGGGTAACTTGGGCACCTGCGTACGCAGGCTCAGAGCACTGGTTCCAAAACTAGAATGTGTGTCACTTGTTAAAACATTTTTCAACCTTCCTGTCCCCCCCACTATTTCTGAATCAGTATATCTGGGATGGAGCCCAAGAATATTCTTTTTTACCGAATTCCCTTAGAAGACACTAATTCTGCTAGTGTAAGACCACACTTTAGAACTCAAATACAAATCTTTTTTGGACAAAATAACCTAACTGATAAAGATACCAATATCCCATAGACATTATTAAAATCTTGTCTAGAAATTGGACACAAGCATTACTTAGGGTAACAAAAGGATTTTTTAAGATCAGAAAATGGCATAAAATAATATATAACTTCCCTCGCATATCTGCCATTTTATGTGGCACAAGCCGTGTGAAAGTAGCTGGTGTAACCAAAGGGTAGTGGGTCCACGTTCCAAAGGTTCCCGGTGCTGTGGTCTCTCTGAGTGCTGCTCTCCCAGCCCTCCCAGGATGAGCAGAGGGGAAAGGGAGAAGAAGGGAAGCTAGGTGGCGCAGCGGATTAGCGCATCTCGCTGGCAAGTCCAGTAATTTGTTTTGGAGCGCAGTTGAAAAAGTCGTCCCAATCGCTGATGGTATTTTTCCAGACAGCCTGGATACTTGAAGGCTGGCAGTAACTACGGGTGGGGAGCTCGGCAGGTTGGATGGAGAGCTGCAACCAAAGTCCTTTCACCCCAGCAAAAGACAGAGAAGGGAAGGGATGTATGGGGAACCACGGTTTCCCTGAACCCCGGCTCCTAAAGGCAGGCGACAGGGCGCGCAGCGGGTCCCAGCAGCTCAGATCAATGCCGAGGGGGAAGTAGGAAAAACGCAAGCGCACAGGGAAGAGGCGCACAAACCCACTGGCCGGACGGTGCGTTTATTTTTCTCCCCCACTTAAGCCGCGATCCTCGGACACTGCCTTCTCCCTACAGCACGACAGAAAAAGCAAGTCCCCCACCAGTTTCCCAGCACGGCGGGCCCTTGGCGGCCTGCGCCCCAGAGGTCGGTGCTCAGCGCGCCCAGAAGAGCCAGCGCCGCACGCCCCGCTGCGGGGCGCGCAGGTAAAGGGTTACGCGTGCCGCCGGGGCTCGCCCGCGGGCCGGCCACGTGACGCGGGGGCCCAATGACGGCGCCGGGGCGGCCCGGGCGAGCGCCGCGGGCTCCGGGCGCTCCTCAGCCGCCCGCGTTTCCCCGCGCTGCTGTCCGAGGTCGGCGAAGCCATGGGCGCCGCGACCCCGCCGCCGCCCGGCCCCAGGTAGGGACGGTCCCGCGCCGTGCGCGTGGTGCCCGCCGCGGGAGGAGAAGGGCGCGACTGCCGCGGAACTTGGCTTTGGGGCACGACGACCCTGATTTCTCTCGCGGGTCGCTCTTACTTCTGCATTTCCCTTTGCTCTGCAGTAGTGATAATTCATGACTAACACATAAGAGGGGAGAGGCGGTTCTGACTGGATGAGTTGGACCAAAGTCGCGCCATTCAACAAAGGCGCCGTCAGAGAAGCGAATCGGGGCGCGGGAGAGGAAGACTTTTACAAATTCTCCAAACCAAAGAGCTAGACGTTCGGGGGGCTTGGCTCTAGCTGGTTGTGTGGGGACTCTTACTGTTTTTCTTTTAAATCCCCCAACTAATGAACTTTGGTGGTGCATAAGAACTTGAACTGGAAAACTGAGAGACATTGTCTCGTGTTTCTGTGTCCGTCAACACCGCCCCCCCCCCTTAAGCATCTGAATGTCTTGAATAAAACGGAAATGGAAGGTGACCGCCGCAGTTTCTTTGAAATGTCCTTGGGTCGCAGGATTTGCCTCCCCAGCTCACACCGCCAGGTGCGGGCGCCCTCGGGGGCAGAGCTGGAGGGAAGGGAGGCTGTGCTG